AAAGTTAAATTTCTTTTAATCAATGCATTTAAATACACAGTGTCTTCTGGAAAAAATCCGGAAAAATAACCCTCAGCTGAGTCATTAAAGAGGTCTTTTAGGTCATTGATGCCGTGGCCTGAAAAATATGTTTATTTTAAGGAAAAAAACTTCAATACTGATCAACATTTGGAAGGAACTTGCAAAATTTAAAAAGACCAGTAAAGAAAGTCTTAATGTCGGTCGGTGATACCCTACACCACTTTGCATATTCAGCAGAGCTTCATGGGGAATTTGTGGAAAATACCTATGATTATAGTTATAGTTTAAAATCTAAAGGAACTAATATATAAGAGGAATATCCTCCTCTGAATCGATTTCTACTAAATTTGACAATGCATTTGGGCCTTTTCAATTCGGGCTTGTATTACCCATTTGGTGCACCAAGTTAATTGTGTATGGGAGCTATATCCAAATCTGCACCGATCTCGATAAAATATGGAAAAAGTATTTCTGAGCTGTTTTTGATATATTTCCTCGAATATCGTTGTTATGGAGTGCATACAAAAATATATATGGGAGATATAGCTATATCTGAACCGATTTTTACCAAATTTGAAATATTTGTTTATAGACTCAACTTGCTTGTAATTGCCAAATTCCACCCCATTTCGGCTAATATTACACGTTTTTGATGGTCATTGTGCGCTGGAAATGAAGCGAGGAAGCTCATTTTGTAACCATACTTGGGTGGCACGTGCTGAGTGCTGAGTCCTGTTAGAATGTCCAAGGTCTGCGCCCAAAATGCTTGCGTGTCCAAGGCTTTAATACGCCCTCCAGAATATTTTCGCGATAATATTCGGCATTTATTCTGATGCCACAGTCGATTAATACGAGCGGTGAGCGACCATCGGCTGTTATGGCGGACCACACTTGAGTTCTGGTGGCCAACCGAAGGTGCACATATTCAGCTGACCTCTTTGGCATGTAAACACGACCTGCTGGATAACGAATGTTTTCTCAGAAAAAATTCGACCGTTCACCACTTTCGGCCAAGCGAAGCAAGTCTATAGCTCTTTTGAGTCTTTTTTGAGTCTAATGCGGTGTAAGTTCTATACACATTTTGGAATTTCAATGACTTTACCCCGAGCTCATTTTTCAATATTTGCCGAATATTGCGATATGTTCACCTTACGAGCCATTTTCGGCCACTGCGACGCGGGTTTCGATAAAGTCGCTCTTTTCGAACCATTTCTGCTGATATTGCTGTTTTCTTCCGTCCCTTTCCTTGTCGACGGGCTATGCTACCAGTATCACGATAACGTGCGATGGTACGAGACACAAAAATTTATTCACATTTAAATGCTGGAGTGCTCTAACGATAGCCACTTCTGGTTTTCCAGCCAAATATAAAGAAAACACACTATCACACTTGTATTCCATCACGAATAACTTGTTTTCTGTAAGATTCTCACCAAAATGCTTTTGTATGCTTGTAAACAATATAATGAGTTGTCACTGGAATAATTTTACCAGGTGTCGGATGAGTGGTTTAGAAATGACAGCAGTCTGAAGTTGGTTGCAGTTTTTTAATCTCACCCAAAAAATACCAAATTTCAGATTTGAAGCACTATCTGTTCACACAGTACGAAATTGTACCATTTTCGTGCACTTGTAGTACAAATTTCCAAAACCATATCTTTATCACAAACCTAACACGAACAGTCACCCTAATACAACATTTCAAAATTCCAGCTTCGTTCGTTCACCCGAAACCAAATTAAATAGCATTTATAAATCTTGCATTCCAACCTTCAGTCTTATATCAAATTTCAAGTTTTTAGCTCTTTTCGTTCACAAGTTTAGTACTATGTTAGAACTTTTCGTAACCTCTAAATTCGAAACCTTTTGAACATCACTCCATCAATGACGTGACACTTATCCCAACATTTCAGAATTGTAGCTCATTTCCCTTTCGTAATAGAAACTATTCAATTTTTAGTACATTCCAGTACTTTTCGAACCCTTTTAGTACGTATTTCTGGAAATCAATCTTATAGCACACCCACGCATCAAGACAGGTCCTCGTGCAAAATTTTCAGATTGCCGCTTCTGTCGTTTCGTCTGGGCTTTAATTCCAGATCAGTCAGTCAGTTATTTCCCCACTCTAGATTGTGGCCTCTATCATAATATCAACTGGCGGATATTGTTACATCGAATAAGTCTTTTATGTTGCTCATATCAAATTTATATACTTTATGGGGTTTCCGACAAAAATTTTTGGTAGGTATAAAATAACAAGAAAATGTATAAAGGTATACAAATAGCAGAAAAAGTATGTACATTTTCTATAGGGCTATGTAGTTTTCGATGCAATTTCGCGACTGAACAATAAATAAAGAACAATTTAACCCACTTATCACAGTTTCGAATCCGCATTCATATACTTTCGAATACAAATACATCATCGGCAGTAGAGCATTTATAGATTCTATCAATAAACTCTACCAATTGTAGGAAACTACTATTTTATTTGCGTTGAAAAATACTGTCTTGTTAGAGGTCACCTTATCGAATGTTAGGTCAGTGACCGTACATATTTTGCTATTACCTCATCTATAGGTACCAGATTTCAAACATTTCGAAGCTTTTAACTCGTTTTGCTGTTATTTAACTTGTTTCTTATAAATCTACCCTCCCATCTAAAATTCTATTATGATCGTCAAATGGAAAATCTTGGTTTGGACATCTAGAGAAAACTATTAACTAAGCTTTCCACAAAGACTTATTATTTTCACATAGTTGAGGTCTTAGATTACAGTCTTGATTCATCTACATTTTCACCAAGTTTTAAGCATCAAAAACAAAAACTGTTCGCACCCATGACCTTCTCAATATCCGGAACAAACTTTTCGCCGAAATCGCTGCGTTCGTGCACTCAGCTAAGCAAATGCAAATATCAATAAAATAAATATATTCATGTCTTTACTTTACGAAACTGAACTGCTCAGGTGTATTTGCTTTTGTTTGTCTGTATGTTTTTTTGTGCGAGACCCACTCATGAGCGACTGCGAAGAGAATTGATACGAACATGTGAATGAAATAATACAATGTGCCAACATTCAAATGAGAATATTTAAAAATTTGAAACAAAGATTTTTTTTTGTTTACAGATAAGATTTTTTGGAAATTCAACTAGAATTTTGGAAAGATTAATGAAATTGAAATAAATGTTTGTGTGTTGGTGTTACAGAGAGTGGTGAATTAATGTGTACCCTACAATATAGTCGGGAGGTATAATAGGCCAAGTCAATCTTATTGGAAAAATTTAGTTTTTTTTTACCGTCCTTCGAGAAAGATCAGAATTTTGCGTAAATTTTTCAATATCAAGAAATCAACTTTAATTTTGTAGAAAACAAATCCGATAGAAAGCAGCATTAAATGACGATGTTGGCTACCTAAAAATTTTAAAATATCTAAGAGTAAAAGAAAAAAAAAATATTTGTTTATATCAAAGAACTGATGAGGATTGGTGGCTCTTTCCGAAACCTAGGTATTCCCTGTCTTACCCCCTGGTAAACATTACCATCGTTCTCCACTAATAAACAAACGTTGTTTTTATAAAAACAATAATAGAAGGATTAAGCCTGGCCATTTGGCAAAAAAAAAAAATATTTGGACTAAGTTTAAATTTGTTCGAATTGGTCACCTTTTTGCACGAATTATGATTTTTAAACGGTCAATGAAACCGTCACACGCTGCCCGAATGTTGGTCTGTGGTATTTTGGTTCATTTTCGGCGAAACGCTTGCTTGAGGTGATCGACACTTTGGTATTTTTTAGTGCTAACCATGCTTTCCAAAATACTCTAGACACAATAGTCCAACGGATTGGTATCCGGACAGAAAGAACAGAAATTAGACTCAAAAGAGCTAAAGAGTTGCTTCGCTTGGCCATAAGTGGTGAACTGACGAATTTGGTTTTCTCCGATGAGAAAACATTCGTTGTCCAGCAGTTTGTAAATAAACAAAATGATCGTCTTTACTTGCCAAAGAGATCAGCTGAAAATGTGCACCTTCGGTTGCCCACCAGAACTCAAGTGCCGGCCAAGGTTATGGTGTGGGCCGCCATAACAGCCGATGGTCGCTCTCCGCTTGTATTAATCGACCATGGCATCAGAATAAATGCCGAATATTATCGCGAGAATATTCTGGATGGTGTATTAAAGCCTTGGGCCCGCAAACATTTTGGCCGCAGACCTTGGATAACAGGATCGCACTCAGAACGCGCCATCCAAGAATGGTTACAAAATGAGGTTCCTCGCTTCATTTCCAGCGCACAATGGCCACCAATATCTCCGGATACCAATCCGTTGGACTATTGTGTCCATAGTATTTTGGAAAGCAAGTTTGGCACTAAAAAATACCAAAGTGTCGATCACCTCAAGAAAGCGCTTCGCCGGGAATGGGCGTGTGTCGGTTTCATTGACCGTTTGAAGGCCATAATTCGTGCCAAATGTGACCAATTCGAACAAATCTGAACTTATTCTTAAATTTGATGCTATTTCCGATATTTTTTGCTTTCATTGAATAAAATAAAAATAAAATGTAAAAATGATGGCTTTTGTCTTTGTTGCAGTTTTTTCATCTCACCTTGCACCCCTGGGTTACAAACGGAATGGAGAACTTAATATACTCTCCATACTATATATGGTGGTGGGTATAAAATATGTGACAAAATATAACAAATATATATATTTTTTCGCTTTTTAGTGCGATTTCTTAAGGGTCTGCCAAGGGTCTGTCAAAATTAGTCCAGCCGATCTAGAGTGGTAAGAATAACAACAGACATTAATTTAATTTATTTATAAGATTTACTAATTAAAAATAGAAAAGATTTATACAAACGTCGTGGAGAGCACATTTAATTCGGCCCGAGCAAGCTTATCGCTTGTTTTTTGATAATTAGTATTTGCTGTGGGATTTTGGAAAATTTCTTCTCCTTTGTTGAGGTTTTAGTTTATTTTAGTAATCGAAAGCTTTCTGTTCTATTTGGATTATTTTTTTAATAGAAAAAGAAAAGTTTTTTTTTATTTTTACCGACAAATCGAATTCAACATGGGCTGTCTAAGTCAGAGGACACTAAGCATTTTAGTGGGATATCTTTATTTGATTGTCAGTGTTGTCAGCTGCATTTTGCTGAGTCGTCATCTATTGATAATCGAGGACAGACCAGAGGTACAAAAATATGAAGTTGTTGAAGGAAAATCAATGTACCGAATAATAGGTTGGTGTTGAAAAAAGTCATGTTTATAGCCAATAATGTTTAATATGAACATGTGATAATATAAAATCATTTTATACATTTCATTTATGATTTTTTGTAAAAATGGAGTGAACGCGGGGGCATAATTCTGGCTTTCGAGCAAATTTCATATCTAATTCGTCTTGATGAAAATTCAATTTTCTAAAAAGACTATTTCATATCGAATATGAGAATCAGTTTTCAGGTTATGTTGGTAATGACCGCCTTAATTCGCTATAGCTGTGTTCGACTGTTTGTATCCAATTAATATTTTTTTTAAATAATATTTTTTTACTTTTAGGTGATGTTGTTGAAAAAGACATTGAGAAATTCCTACGTCTACTCTCTGAAATGGATATGACCACAACAATCGGCATTTTGACAATTAGCGTTGTAATGTTAGTTGCATCAGTGCTCATGTTAATTGGAATTGCTGTGGTAAGAAAACTGAAGTAAAGAACAATTTCAATTGTGTGTGTGTTTGATTGTTTTTCTTCAAAAAAGCAAAATGCTCGTCTTATGGTGCCCTGGTTTCTATCGAACACATTTATTCTATTGTCTTTGATATGTTGGACAGTCTACTCGTGTACTGAAGATATTTTCGAGGGAAATGTAACCCACGATGGCACCATTACAAACATGCTCGATGCCCTGGTCATTCTGGGTAAGAAATCGCTATTTGTAATAAAAGATTGGAATTGAAATATTTTCCGATTGATTTTCCAAATAGGTTTCCTTCTGATCATCGATTACCCAGTCTATATGTTCTTCAGAAAACTACGAAAAGGTCTCGATGTGACGCGATATAATGCATTGCTGAGATCAGCTGATGATGCTTTTGAAATATAAGAATGAATACAAAATGATGTCGGAAATAAAATCCAACGATTTTAAATTTAAGGAATAAAATCTAACGTTTTTCAAATAGTGCCGTAAATATAAGTCGTAAATGGTAAATCTTAGCTCCTGTCTTATTTGAAAGAAGAGAAGCATCGTATGAACACAAGCACAATTGTTGCAAAAAACCAGCATGCATACATTGAAAAGCCGATGCACCCAAAACGAGTCACTGTTTGGTGCAAAGTTCGAACAACAACAAAAATGTTTTCCAAGAAAATTTGGTCCAGAGGCATAATTGGGCCACTTCTCTGCGAAAATGAAAAAGAGGATATTGGCAAAACTTGGTTTCTATAGAAACAAAGCCGACGCTTACCACAAAAACAAGGTATTTGGCGGATACTTTATTACAGGTTCTACGGAAAATCTAAGAGTTCAAATATTTCCTTAGACGTATTCGAAAGCACTTTCTTCTATATAAAAAACAAGTTACATAAGCAGTAAAAGCAATAAAAACGCACTTTTTCAAAGAAAAGTTACCCCAAAAAAAGCAAAATTTTTCAAAAGCAAAAAAAAAAAAAAAAAAAATAATAATAATAATAAATAAATAAATAAATCTCGGAACGAAATGGGTTAACTTCAATACGGTCAAAATCACCTTAAATAACACTGAGCAACACAAAAACTAATATCAAAAGACTTAGTAACACCTGGAAATATTTTAGACCCCACAAAGAACATATATTCTTGATTAGCATATATTTCTATGTCGATATCCGTCCGTCTGTGGAAATCACTCGAAATAAAGTGGGTTAATAAAATTGTACTCAGATATATAATGTCTGCAGGACTTTTGGTCTTGAAAAATGGGCCATATTGGATCACGTTTTGGTATATCCCCCATATAATGGTACCTCCCTATTTTCGGTATTTTGGTGATTTAAGCGACATTATTCACTGAAAATGTTTCAAATTTAGTATTTGGAGTTCATAATGGATACTACAGCCTAAGACAGAAAATAGTCCGTGCAGGTCCAGGTCTTTGTATATCTCCCATATAACGGTACCTCCCGATATTCGGTATTTTGATGATTTTAGCGACATTATTCTCCGGAATAGTTTCAAAATTGGTATTAGAAGTTCGTAGTGGATACTACAGCTTATAACCGAGAATTGTCTGTGCAGGTCCATGTCTTCGTATAGCCCCCATATAACGGTACCTCCCGATATTCGGTATTTGTTTCAAATTTGTATTTGAAGTTCGTAATGGATGCTACAGCCTATGACAGGAAATTGTCTATGCAGGTCCACGTTTTGGTATAGCCCCCATATACGTTTTGGTATAGTCCCCATATAATGGTGATTTTAGCTACATTATTCACTGAATTTTTTCAAGTTTCGCATTTAAATATTGTAATGGCTTCTGACAAAAGTTACCTATGCCAGTCCACGTCGTCGGATAGACCCTAATATAACGGTTACTTTTTGTATTTTTTAGATTTTAACAGAATTTTTAACGGATTTTATTTTTTTGAATATTGCCAAATTCTTTCCAAATGGTGGAGGGTTTTCAAATCTCGGCCCGGCCGAACTTACAGCTTTTTTTGCTAGTTAAAGCTTACACCGCAAAGTGGGGTTTGGTTTTTATTTTTTTAAAATTCTCGGATTAAGATTCTTGGAAGGCTTACATTTTTGGTGTATCAGGAATATTAAAGATAAACATGTTAGTATTATTTTGATCAAAACTTTAAAGTAATATTTTGATCAAAAACTTTACTTTAAATTATTCCAGTCACCTAAGAGACCTTCTTGATCTTGATTGTCTCCAAGGTATGGTTAAAAACTCCCCTTAAACGGGATCATTGCAAGTCAAAATATTCTAATAAAGACAAAAATATTCTTTATCAAATATTACTATGTCATCACTGAAAAGAAAACTCTATTTCCCTTATATGTCAAGAAAACGTTTGGACCAATGTTTTCAAAAAGACCAAAAATAATTGCTAAATTTTAAAAAAGGAGTATTCTACGAAAAAAGCACTATAGTTCAGAATTGTAGATTTAATAGTTTTTAAGAAAATGCCATTCGAAATTTGTATGCATTTTAGAAAAAAAAACTAGTAAAAAAGCAGTAAGTTCGGCCGGGCCGAACTTTGAATACCCTCCACCATTTGGAACGAATTAGGAAATTAAAAAAAAATAATAAATAAAATCCATTAAAAAATATGTTAAAAGCTTTAAAATACCTAATATCAGAAGGTGCCAATATATGGGTGGATATACGATATTGTGGACCTATATACACAATTCTCTTCCAAGGGATAAAGTACTCAAAAGGAACTCCTTGTGTGGATTTTCAGACAATTCCGTTGAAAAATGTAACTAAAATCATCAAAATACCGAAAATCGGGGGCTACCGTTATATGGGGGCTATACGATATCGTGGACCTATATGGATAATTATCTTCCAAGGGATAAAATACTCGCAAGAACCTCCTTGTGTGGATTTGCAGACAATTCCATTGAAAAATGTAACTAAAATCATCAAAATACCGAATATCGGGGGCTACCGTTATATGGGGGCTATACGATATCGTGGACCGATATAGCCCATCTTCGAACTTGACCTGCCTGCAGACCATAGATAGATCTGTGCAAAATTGTAGTTTCCTATCTCAATTCGTTTTGACTGTAGTGTGACGGATGGACGGACAGGTCTAAATCGTATATATGTACTTTGTTGGGTCTAAAATGATTATTTCGATGAATTACAAACGGAATGGCGAACTTAATATACCCTCCATACTATGTAAAGTAGTATCAGTCGGTTTTTCCCACAGATTTGAGTTATGATTATTCAAACTGTTGACCCTTTTTGGGGAGGTTCCGAAGCAATTGGCCAATTCGTATCTGACCTAAGACTTATATAAATATTACAACGTGCCAGATTTTGGCTTATTTGAACTACTTCCTATACTTTATATGGGATATAAGCCAATATTTTGGAACATGTGGAAATATGCGTGAGGCACCAAATAGCGGACCGAAGTATTCCATTTTCATACTTCATCTACTGCAGATAAAAATATTGGTATGTGCCAAATTTGAAGAAAATCGAAAATTTATATCCACTTTTATGTGAAATCATAAATTCCGATATCTATCTTCTTCTTTCTATATCTATAAAAGAGGAAAATGTTTGTATGTTTGTTTGTTTGTTTGTTTGTTTGTTTGTAATTTATGGACTCGAAAACCGCTGAATAGATTTTCCTGAAAACTTCCATATATACTGCAACATCGCCTGAAAGTAACATAGGCTATATACATTTTTGAATTTCCACTTGGAACTGGAGATATAGCATCAGAATCGGAGGTACCTCCCAAAAATTTAGATTTTATATGCACATATCTATTGATTGGTTGAAGATACAGTCTCCAAATTTGGAATGCGTAACGGAATTTGGAACAAAAATAAGTTTGCCAAATTATATTGTAATCGGTTCAGATTTGGATATAGCTCCCATATATATTTTCGACCGATTTCGTTCATTTGATGCCTCCAACACAATATAAATGTTCGATTCCAATGAAATTTGGAATGTGTGACGGGATTTGATCCGAAAATAAATTTGTCAAATTATATTGAAATCGGTTCAGATTTGGATATAGCTCCCATATACATTTTCGGCCGATTTCATGTATTCTGTGGACCAAACACGATTTGTATTTCCAATTGTAATGAAATTTAAAATATGTAACGGAATTGGGAGCCAAAATGAATTTATCAAATTAAATTGAAATCGGTTCAGATTTGGATATAGCTCCCATATATTTTTTCGACCGATTTCATGTATTTGATGCACAAAACACGATACGTATTTCCGATTCCAATGAAATTCGGCATGAGTGGCTAAATTTGGTACAAAAATAACTTTGACAAATTATATTCAAATACGCTCAGATGTGATTATAGCTCCCATATATATACTCAGCCGATTTCACATATTTGATGCACCCAAAGCGAGAGAGACAAAATCTGGCACCAGAAAAAATTGCCAAATTATATTGAAATCAGTTGAGGTTTGGTATAGCTAACATATATATTTCGGCCGATTTCATACATGTTATGCACCAAACATGATATATATGACCGATACCAATGAAATTCAGAATGTGTGGCGGAATTTGGCTACAATAATAAATGTGACAAATTAATTGGAAATAAGTTAAGATTTGGATATAGCTCCCATATATATTTTCCGCCGATTTCACATATTTGACGCACCACTTTCAATGAAATATGAAAGGTGTGGCGGAATTTGGTGTAAAAGAAATTTTTTTAAAATTGTATTTAAATCGGATCAGATTGGGATATAATTTTAATAAGAACCATTGACCCACGACGCCTTAGGCTAACACTAAAAAACAACACAACAATTGATTTGAAATACGCTTATTACGGCGAAGTATGTTGCTATCTCGAATTCACTAATTGCAATAGAAATGCCACTCAACTACAAAAGATTGCAGTTTATTGCACGCTTGGTATTTGCTATGAAATAAATAAATCCGAAGGACAAACCCTTCGTGTATGTATGTCATGTTACTGCTTTTCTAATGGTTTTGGTTATTTACGCATTAAAGTAGTGCAATAATTTTTTTTTTTAAATTTTTAAATTTAAATAAAATTTTGAATGCATATAAAATCAAAAGGGGTAGCGAAGCGCACCGGGTTCAGCTAGTATTACATATGCATACCAGATTTCTAGTTAAGAGAAATATTTAGATATAACAAGTTGTAAGGAATCACCGAATAGGTTCGCAAGTTATGACAGATATAAGCATTGGAAATTGTGACCCTTTGTGGGTGAGGCACCAGAAAGGGTTGGCAGATATATGTCATCTTCACAACAGATGACATTATTTTGGATGTGTGCAATTTGAAGATGTTGGATGTTTATTTCGCGTTCTTTGAGCGTTTTGTTTTTCAAAATCTTGAGGTACCAAAGAGAGTTTGAACACAACCGGACTCTTACATCACATATTACAAGATTTATAATTTTTGAAAATTTTGACCCTTTGTGGGGGAGGTACTTGATGGAGTTGACTTACATTGTCCATTTTCGCACCTGACTTAGTACTGATGAACATTTTAAGATTTAAAAATATTAACATTCTGTGGGGGAGGTACCAGAAGAGTGGACCGATATTGCCCATCTTCGAGCTCGATCTAAATTTAATAATATTATTAATATGTACCACTTTTGGATCACATCGGATACACCCTAAAAGAGTTATCGGACGACATCGTTAGATCGACTGCAAATGTCCTGAAACGGATATGGTCCAAAAAGATCCAGGGTCTAAACCGAACTTTGAATACCCTCCACCATTTGAAACGAATTAGAAATTAAAATCATCAAAATACCGAATATCGGGGGTACCGTTATATGGCGGATATACGATATCGTTAACCTATAAAGAGAATTTTCTGTCAGGGGGTAAAGGGCTTAAAAGAACTCCTTGAGTGGAATTTCAGAGAATTCCATTAATAAATGTGGCTAAAATCATCAAAACACCGAATATCGAGGGGTACCGTTATATTGGGGCTATACCATATCGTGGACCTATATAGATAATTATCTTCCAGCGGATAAAGTACTTACAAGGAACTCATTGTGTGGATTTTCAGACAATTCCATTATAAAATGTGGCTAAAATCGTCAAAATACCGAATATCGGGGGTACCGTTATATGGGGGATATACGATATCGTGGACCTATATAGACAATTTTCTTTCAGGGGGTAAAGTACTCACATGGAACTATTTGTGTGGATTTTCAGACAATTCCGTAAAAAGTGTGGCTAAAATCATCAAAATACCGAATATCGGGAAGTACTGTTATATAGCCTCCATATAACAGTACTTCCCGATATCGTGGACCTATATAGATAATTCTTTTCCAAGGAGTAAAGTACCTACAAGGTACTTGTAGGTCAGACAATTCCGTTAAAAAATGTGGCTAAAATCATCAAAATACCAAATATCGGGGGGTACCGTTATATGGGGGCTATACGATATCGTGGACCGATATAGTCCATCTTCGAACTTGACCTGCCTGCACACAAAAGACAGATCTGTGCAAAATTTTAGCTTCCTGTCATTATTCGTTTTGACTGTAGCGTGATTACAACAGACGGACTTAATATACCTATGCATCCTATGTATACATGGTGGAGGGTACAAAAACTTTTTATTTTTGACACATTTATAACTTTTTTCCGAATTTACTGAATGTTTTCCTAAACTTTATTTATAGGTTAGGTTTGTGGAAAAATCCAAGTGGATTTGATCGAGACCCAAAAGAGTTCCGGGTGCTTAAACCAAACTTGTTTGTGGCCTCTGTATAGCCTTTACCAAATACCAAGGAACCCTAAACACTTTGAGAGATATTTTGCAACATTACATATAATGTTTTGAAAATATATAAATTGCGTTTGATTGATTCAAGAATCATGGGTATTGTATTAAATAAAATTAGCGGCGTTTGCAGGTTAGTTATCAGAAGTACTTAGAGAAAATCGGAAATTCATTTCACCTTCCCCTTGTGCACGAAAAGAGTACAATTCTAAGTTGATTAAGTGATGTCCATCTCTCTGTCTGTCTGTCCGTCTTTCTGTCTGTTGTAATCACGCTATCTTTCGAATGAATTGAGACAGAAGGCTAAATTTTTGCACACATTTTTATTATACCCTCCACCAAAAAAAATATGGAGGGTATATTAAGTTCGTCATTCCGTTTGTAACTCATCGAAATAATCATTTTAGACCCAACAAAGTATATATATTCTTGATCAGAATAAAAATTCTAAGACGATTTAGCCCTGTCCGTCCGTCTGTCCGTCTGTTGTAATCACGCTACAGTCTAAACGAATTAAGATAGGAAGCTAAAATTTTGCACAGATCTCTCTTTTGTCTGCAGGCAGGTCAAGTTCGAAGATGGGCTATATCGGTCCACGATATCGTATAGCCCCCATATAACGGTACCCCCGATATTCGGTATTTTGATGATGCTAGCCACATTTTTCAATGGAATTGTCTGAAAATCCACACAAGTAATTCCTTGTGGGTACTTTATACCTCGACAGAGAATTATCTATATAGGTCCACAATATCGTATAGCCTCCATATAACGGTACCCCCCGGTATTCGGCATTTTGATGATTTTACCCACATTTTTCAACGGAATTGTCTGAAAATCCACACAAGGTGTTCCTTGTGGGTACCTTATACCTCGGCAGAGAATTATCTATATAGGTCCACGATATCGTATAGCCCCCATATAAAGGTACCCCTGATATTTGGTATTTTGATGATTTTATCAACATTTTCAATGGAATTGTCTGAAATTCCACAAAAGTAGTCCCTTGTGGGCATTTAACCCCACGATATCGTATATCCCCCATATAACTGTACCCCCCCCCCCCCCCCCCCCGGTATTCGGTATTTTGATGATGTTAACCACACTTTTCAACGGAGTTGTCTTAAAATCCACACAAGTAGTTCCTTGTGGGTACTTTATACCTCGACAGAGAATTATCTATATAGGTCCACGATATCGTATAGCCCCCATATAACGGTACCCCGCTATATTAAGTATTTTGATGTATTTACTCACATTTTTTATCGGAATTGTCTGAAAATCCACACAAGGAGTTCCTTGTGGGTACTTTATACCTCGACAGAGAATTATCTATATAGGTCCACGATATCGTATAGCCCTCATATAACGGTACCCCCCGATATTCGGTATTTTTATGATTTTACTCACATTTTTTATCGGAATTGTTTGAAAATCCACACAAGGAGTTCCTTGTGGGTACTTTATATCTCGACAAAGAATTATCTATATAGGTCCACGATATCGTATAGCCCCCATATAACGGTACCCCCCGATATTAGGTATTTTGATGATTTTAGCCACATTTTCCAATCGTATTGTCTGGAAATCCACACACGGAGTTCTTTGTGAGCACTTTACCCCTGAAACGGAATTGTCTATATAGGTCCACAATATCGTATATCCCCCATATAACGGTACTCCCCTATGTTCGGTATTTTGATGATTTTACCCACATTGTTCAACGGAATTGTCTGATAATCCAGACAAGGAGTTCTTTGTGAGTACTTTACTCCCCAAACATAGATTTGTCTAGGTTCACAATAGCGTATATCCCCCCATATAACGGTACCCCCCGATATTCGGTATTTTTATAATTTTAGCCACATTTCCCAATGGAATTATCTGAAAATCCACACAAGGAGTTCCTTGTGAGTACTTTACCCCCCAAACATAGATTTGTCTAGGTTCACAATAGCGTATATCCCCCCATATATCGGCACCTTCTGATATTATGTATTTTAAAGAATTTAACAGAATTTTAAATGGATTTTATTTTTTTTAATATTTTCTAATTCGTTCCAAATGGTGGAGGGTATTCAAAGTTCGGCCCGGCCGAACTTACTGTTTTTTTACTTGTTTTTCCAGTAGGCAGGTTAAGTTCGTAAATGGGCCATGTAGGTCCACGTTTTCATATTGCCCCCATATAACGGTACCTCCGGCGACATTATTCACCGGAATTGTTTCAAATTTGGTATTTGAAGTTCGAAATGGATACTACAGAAACGACTTCGTATAGCCTCCATATAACGGTACCTCAATATATTCGATATTTTGATGATTTTAGCGACATTATTTACCGGAATTGTTTCCAATTTGGTAGTTGAAGTTCGAAATGGATACTACAACCTAAGACAGAAAATTGTCTGTTCAGGTCCATGTCTTCGTAGAGCCCCCATATAACGGCACCTCCCGATATTCGGTATTTTAATGATTTTATGGACATTTTTCATCAGAATTATTTCAAATTTGGTGTTTAAAGTTCGTAATGGTTACTTCAGCCTAAGACAGAAAATGAGCCATGTAGGTCCACGTCTTCGTATAACCTATAACCTCCCAATATTCGGTATTTTGATGATTTTAGTGTCATTATTCACCGAATTTTTTTTCAAATTTGGTATTTAAAGTTCGTAATGGATACTTCAGCCTAGGACAAAAAATGAGCTATGTAGGTCCACGTCTTCGTATAACCCCCATATAACGGTACCTCCCAATATTCGTTATTTTGATGATTTTAGCGTCAAATTACGTATTTAGAGTTCGTAATGGATACTACAGCCTATGACAGAATATTGTCTATGCAGCTCCAGGTCTTCGTATAAGCCTTATATATCCGTACCTCCCTATATTCGGTATTTTAACGAGTTTACCAAGATGTCGAAATTGTTTGAGATATCGAATTTAAAATTCGTAATAGATGCTTTGTCTATGCTGGTCCAGGTCTTCGCACAGCTCCGATATAAAGGTACCTCACTATATACGATATTTTGATGATTTTAGCTACATTATTCACCGTTGACTTCAAGTTTTCAATTTGAATATGGTAATGCTTATGACAAAAAACGGCTATATAGGTCCACTTCGTATAGATATAACGCTATATTCGGTATTTTTAAAATTTTAACAGAATTTTTTAAGGATTTTATTTTTTGAAAATTTCCAAATTCATTCCAAATGGTGGAGGGTATTCAAAGTTCGGCCCGGCTGAACTTAGTGCTTTTTAACTTGTTAAGATTTGAACATAATTTTTAACGGATTTCATTATTTTGAAAATTGCCAAATTCGTTCAAATGGTGGATGGTATTCAAAGTTCGGCCCGCCCGAACTTACAGCTTTTTTACTTGTTTTGTATTATAATGTAGCTAAATCTTATGAAATGTCTTGAAATTTTAGATAATCCAAAACTTTTCAATATCAAAAACGCCATTAATAATATTAAAGTTGTTGTCAAATTTCAAAGGTCTTTTTCAAACATAGCGAACAATTAGGCGGAGATTATCTATGAGTGCAAAATGTGAAAACATTTGACTTCAGAATGCCAAACCCTTGTGGGGGTTTGGCAAACGCTTGCCTAGTATTCACGCTCCAAGTTGGAATTTGATACCTTCACTAACAATGCGGTCCTTTTCGAAAACAATGAATTAACTGTTGATTTTTGATACGAAATTTAAGAATGCACTTTCGGTCGCCATGCTCCATATATAAATATGATTTGTGGATGGCAGTTTCCTGATAACGAAGCGGTCTATTTTGTGTCAAAACATAATTGGTTTATGCGACTTGATGGAACTATATACGAGTACATAAAAGGCTTTTCTAAAATATATAAAAATAAAAAGAAGCCATAAACAAACACTGGCTTGTGTGAGTGCTTTAAATAATTACCCTGTGGGAGAAAACTTTCCACATATGAATTTAATATTCATTCTTTTTTTCTAGGGAATCTTGAAGTCAACCTTTGTGAGCCTCAGATGCATTTCAAAATCTTTTCTGATAACAAAATCCCCAAGCATCGGAAATTTATTTTGAAATACAAAGTGCCAGTATTTTGCAGATTATTGAAGAGAAGCAATCTATAAACCATAGCAAATTAAATATGGCCTGCTCAAGTCACAGAAATCTGAGTTTATTGGTGGGATGGCTTAATGTCATACTGCCTGTCTTGTCAACAATTGCAATATTGGTGTCTTGGTTGATATACGATACACCAGAAACGAAGGGTATGAATAAAGAGAATAACTATGTGATAAGTCGATGACTTTTGTTGTTTTTTTTTTTAAGGTGACTCCCAAAGATATGCTGCATTGTTGCTGGCATTAATTTTCACCTACTTGATATTGTGGTTCATATTGTCGGTACTGCTGACTAAAGGCATTTATGAGGTAAGTTGTAAAATTGGCAATATTTTCTTCTTGGTTATAATTTGGTTAGTGCGAATAACAATAATTTAAAAGATACCATTTTCGACAGTTGGTGAAGTATAGGTCGGGTTTACCAAATATGTACAAATAGCCATTGGCTGTAAATATTTAATCGGTGCCAATTATAATATATTTGTTGAAGGTTTGAATGACCATTTAAATCCTATACATGTATCAATATTTTCTCAACACAAACCTAACTTGGGGATTATTTTATAATTCTGTATGAATTTTTCTGCCTAATTGTTTCATTTCGTTTATATCATTTTATAATTATATTAACACCTCAAATATTTCGATTCAAATTCTGTTTTAGTTATTTGGAGTCGATCTAGCCATGTTCGGGTCTGTCTGACTGACTGATGCACACCATAACTCTCGAAGGAACTATAGTAGAGTACAACTTTACCTGTTGTAATATTTATACCCTACACCACAAGGTGGTCAGGGTATTATGACTTTGTGCATTTGTTTGTAACAGGCAAAAGGAAACGAGACCCATAGTTCCTTTTGATGATGTGCATAGAATCATATTCTGAGTCGATTTATGCATGTCCGTCCGTCTGTCTGTCCGTCTGTCCATGTATTTTTGTAAACAAAGTACAGTTTGCATTTATTGTCCTATCCAGATGAAATTTTGCACAAATCATTTGTTTCGCCCAAGGACGAACCCTATTGAAATTGGAGATAATCGGTCAAAATTTAAATATTGCTCCCATATATATCTTCGTCCAATTTTCCAAATAAATAAATTGATCAAAATCGGTTCAGATATAGCTATAGCTCCCATATTTATTGTTCATCCGATTTGTTATTTTTGTAACAACAATATTTGGGGAAAAATATCAAATACAGCTCAGAAATACATTTGCTAAATTTTGTTGAGATCGGTTCCGATTTGGATATAGCTCCCATATATTTTTTATCCGATTTCAAATTAATTGTGCATAAAAACTTTTAATGGTTATGTGGAGCTCGACTAAATTAGCAAAGTGGTGTAGGGTATCATAAAGTCGACCCGCCCAACTTTAAGACTTTCTTTACCGGTACTTTGTTTACAAAAATACATGGACAAACTGACAGACGGACGGAGTGAAATGCATAAATCGACTCAGAATGTGATTCTATGCAGATCATCAAAAGGAACTATGGGTCTATTTCGTTTCCTTTTGCCTGTTACAAACAAATGCACAAAGACATAATACCTGACCACCTTGTGGTGTAGGGTATAAAAAAGCAACGGCTATAGTCGTGGGGCAACGGCTATAGTATGTTAGAAGCCCCCGTATGATCAAATCCTTTTTGCAAGATTTCGCTTCTGAAATTATGTCCTAGAGCATTTTCCAGATATTACCCTTAGCTTTTTGACCAGGGTTATTTGCCCAATATTTACACACTCCTCCGTGTTGTTAGTTGTTGTGGTCCATTCTACAGCTGAGTATAATCTAATGGCCATCAAAAATGCTAGACTTCTTCGCTGTCCTTAACTCTCTTCTCAGGCAAAATTCCGTGTCGATTGGTTTCAATTGTGTGATCTGGAACATTTTTCTGTTTTTGGTTTGTTCGAACCCCTAAATACTTTGCGATCATCTCCAAATGCAAGAGGTCCCTCTGTATCTTCAAATTTAGACTCATCTATATGATTTGCTTGTCTACGATATTTGGCAATATTCGGAAACGAAATCAGCATAAAAAACCAGAAGTTCGCCCTTTGGGTATCTCGGATATCGCCTGTAAGTAATGTTAATATTTTTTCACACAAAAGTAGTGGTCGATTCTACCTGCTGTTCTAAACTCTAACTTCATGTGGATTTCGTGTCCTTTTCTTTCTATTGGCGACCTTTATAACTGCTGCAAATTGAAATTGAAATTTGTCAAAATCGGTCCAGCCATTCTTGAGATATAAGCATTTCAGCTAACATTCCTTTGCTTTGCATATATACACATTGTATATATTTCGCTATATATCCGATATATTTACTGTCGGCATCTACGTAACGGTCAGAATTGACGTTTTCGTCTATTTGTGATTATTTAACACAAATGTCATGGTCTATTTTACCCACTAAATATTACCCGATAACCCGATGACCAATTAGAAGGCCTCTGCCCAACCGTAAGCTCTAGCCCCATGCAAACTTCCGCGTCGGTTGGTCTATAGTTGCGGACTGTAGAGCAACTACAAAATCAGGAAGAGTTGTTGGTCCATTTCAACACCTAAATATTATGCGATCATCTCGAAAAGCAATTGACTTCTATTCTGACCATAACCCCACCTTCATGTAAAATTTCGTGAGGATCGTGCCTTAATTGTGACCTGTAGCGTGATTACAAATTAAAATGGACAGACCGACAGACAGGCGGACGGACGGACATACATAGATAGATCGACTCAGCTCGGCTAGATAGGGAGATACATATATACTTTTCTATGTGGGAAACAAATATTTCGAGGTGTTACATAATTTTTGGCCAAATCAAACTTATAATACCCCCAACATATAGTGTTGTAGGGTATAGTTAGAATCCCGAATATATTTTGCCACATCGATGTATTGTCACAACCATCCTGCTTAACTTTTAATAGACGAACGATATACCTATGTGTGTCCATAGATACCTCAATTCAGCTTGTCGAGATATGATGATCGGTATATCCTTTGGCGGGTCTGGGACCTCTGTTTTCTGTCCATCGATGCACATATACTTTGGATCAACTTTTTAATTCACACATTCAATTGTACCATTTTAATATATTTAGTATATCTTCTGCATTTTTAGAAACGTCACAAACTAATGATCCCTTGGGTTTATTTAACCGGTTTCATCATCTTTGCATTGACATTTTTACTGGTCTATGATATTATCGCAGATGTGATATTGGGTTATTCCTTCATTATATTGCTGTTAAAGTTCATCGGAAACTGTTTGACATTAGGTGAGTTGAAAATAATGCAATTTTATAAAAAAATATATATTTTAATAAATTAAAAATACATAAAAATTCGCTTCTTCCAGGCACTATAGTTTTTGTTTCATATCCAGTCTTTATGTACTATATGAAAATTCGATATAATTGGGATGATCCGGAACTAAAATAAAAGCACCAAAAGTTACTTCAGTTCATATCGACTTATTAATTTGTATAATTATTTTTTTTTTTATTTGGTATTAAGCAATAAATATTTTAACAATAACAAAGTGATTGGAAATGATATATTTTCATTGCTTATATTAAAGGTGCTGTGCAATGGCATCGCTAATTGAAAAAAGATCAGAGATAACAATTTGAACTTTTGATCAGCTTCTTTTACTGGATGTTTAAAAACATTTAATCAACACTTTGCCTACTTCTTTTATGAAATGGAATAACATTTTAAAAAGCTTCTTAAGAATAATACTCTAAGAAGATTTTGAATGTGGTTATTGCAAATAAAGGGTAGGCGCATTTTATTATTCTAAGGAAAAAAAATAATTTTTTAGATATAAGATCGAACGTTTATTTCACAACAAAGATAAAAGTATTCTGTGAGAAAACGGATACAGATACTCCAAAAATACAAAGTTTGAAACAACAAGTAAAAAACATTAAGTTCGGCCGGGCCGAACTTTTAATACCCTAAACCATTGGGTAAAGCAAATATTTTTATATAGAAGTATCTAAATTCATCCATGTTCCATTTTAAACTACAAATACCAATTACCAACAAATACAAACCAACAGTTAAATTTTTCAAAAAAATAACAAGTAAAAAGTCTGTAAGTTCGGCCGAGCGAACTTTGAATACCCTCCACCATTTGGAACGAATTTGGCAATTCTCAAATATCGGGAGGTACCGTTATATGGGGGCTATACGAAGACGTGGACCTGCACAGACAATTTTCAGTCATAGGCTGTATCATGCATTACGAACATCAGACACCAGATTTGAAACCGTTCCGGTAAATAATGTCGTAAAAATGAACAAAGTACCGAGTATCGGGAGGTACCGTTATATGGGGGCTATACGAAGACGTGGACGTGCACAGTCAATTTTCAGTCATAGGCTGTAGCATGCATTACAAACTTCAAACATTAAATTTGAAACAATATCATTGAATAATGTCGCTAAAATTATCAAAATACAGAATATCGGGAGGTATGGGGGCTATATTTCGAGGTGTTACAAACGGAATGATGAACTTAATATACCCTCCATACTATGTTGGAGGGTATAAAAATGGCTGTAAGTTTGGCCGGGCTGAGCTTTGAATACACTCCACCATATGGAAAGAATTTGGCAATTTTCAAAAAAAAAAAAAAAAAAAAAAAAACAAGTAAAAAGCTGGAAGTTCGGCCGAACTTTGAATACCCTCCACTATTTGGAACAAATTTGGTAATTTTCAAAAAAAAGTAAAATCCGTTAAAAATTTTATTAAGACCTTAAAAATACTGAATGTAGCCGTATATTAGGGTCTGTAGGAGGACGTGGACCTGCATAGGCAACTTTTGTCTTAACTATTACAATATTCCAAAGCGAAACTTGAAAAAAATCTGTTTATAATGTAGCTACAATCATCAAAATACCGAATATAGGGAGGTACAATGGGAGTTATAAAACGTGGACCTGCACAGACAATTTTCAGTCATAGGCTGTAGTATTCATTACGAACTTCAAATACTAAAGTTGAAACAATTACGGTAAAAATGGTGCTAAAATCATCAAAATACCGAATATCGGGAGGTACCGCTATACGGGGGCTATACGAAGACGTGGACCTACATGGCCTATTTCATGTGTTAGGCTATAGTATCTGTTACGAATATAAAATACCAAATTTGAAAGAATTCCGGTGAATAATGTCGCTAAAATCAACAATGTACCAAATATCGGGAGGTACCGTTATATGGGAGCTATACGAAGACGTGGACGTGCACAGACAATTTTTTTAGCATGCATTACAAACTTGAAATATTAATTTTGAAACAATACCATTGAATAATGTCGCTAAAATCATCAAAATACCTAATATAGGGAGGTTCTGTTATATGAGGACTATACCAAAACGTGGACCTACATGCCCCATTTTCAATACCAAAAGTCCTGCAGACATAATATACATTTGAAAAAAAAAATTATTAATCGTTCGGAAGCTAGAGTGATTTCCACAGATGGACAGACGGACGGGCATCGCTAAATCGACATAGAATTTTATGCTGATTAAGAATATATATACTTTGTGGGGTCTAAAATGTATAATTCGAGGAGTTACAAACGGAATGACAACCGTAATATAAAGTGAGTGAGTCCGTAATATGGGGGTCATACGAAAAAGGCTACCCATTTAGACAACTTTATACTAGCAGGATTGTTATCTATTGCAAGTCTTAAATGCCAAATTTGTATGTGACAAGGATTATCAAAATATCTATTATTAGTGGGTTTCATTATATGGCGTCTAAAGGAAAACATGGGCCTAGATATTCAATGATCTGTCCCTGGAGCGAAAATCCATTAAGAGCTACAAATACCAATTTTTAGACAAATCAGGATAATTTGACAAAAATCATCCGAATATCGGGAGGTACCATTATGTGGGGCTATACAAAAACGTGGACATATACATACAATGTTTCGCCAGCGGAGCTAGAACCCATTGTGACTTACAAATACCAATTTTCAGACAAATCCGTAGAAAAATGTGTCAAAATTCATGAAAATATCCAATTTCGGAAGGTACCGTTATATGGCGGCTATACGAAAATATGGACCTATACATACAATGTTCCGTCACCCGAACTAGAACCCATTATGACCTACATATACCAATTTTTAGACAAATCCTTGGAAAATGTGGCGAAAATCATAAAAAATACCGAATATCGTGAGGTACCGTTATATGGCGGCTATACCAAAACGTGGAACGATATATATCTCATTTTCAATACCAACCATCCTAGACACAATACAAATTGTTCTGCCAAATGTTGACGCTCTACGTGATTTCAACAGACAGACAGACGGACAGACGGATGGAATTTTATTGTAATCGTGAATATATATATTTTTATGGGGTATACGTTGAATATTTAGGGATGTCAAAGTTAATATACCTCCTATTCAAGGTGTAGGATATAAAAACATATCATCTCAGCAAAAATTCTCAATTGGAAGTAATGATTTAGTAACTACTTTTTATACCCTCCACCAAAAAAGGTATGGAGGGTATATTAAGTTCGTCATTCCGTTTGTAACTCATCGAAATTATCATTTTAGACCCAACAAAGTGTATATATTCTTGATCAGCGTAAAATTCTAAGATGATTTAGCCCTGTCCGTCCGTCTGTCCGTCTGTTGTAATCACGCTACAGTCTAAACGAATTAAGATAGGAAGCTAAAATTTTGCACAGATCTCTCTTTTGTCTGCAGGCAGGTCAAGTTCGAAGATGGGCTATATCGGTCCACGATATCGTATAGCCCCCACATAACGGTACCCCCGATATTCGGTATTTTGATGATTTTAGCCACATTTTTCAATGAAATTGTCTGAAAATCCACATCCTCGGCAGAGAATTGTCTATATAGGTCCACAATATCGTATATCCCCACATATCGGTACCTTTTTATATTAGATATTTTAAAGATTTTAGAAGAATTTTTAATGGATTTTATTTTTTTTTGGAAAATTTTCTAATTCGTTCCAAATGGTGGAGGGTATTCAAAGTTCGGCCCGGCCGAACTTACTGCTTTTTTACTTGTTACTTATCAAACGGATAAGAAAAATTATATATTAAAATTTGGAATGTTATTAAAATAGTTCAAAGCTACCAAGTGGTCGCTACTTCGTCCGCGAAAAGTCCACTTTAAAATTTTGGATTTGTTCCAACAGTTCGTGTTCGGCTTTTTTGTACCCAAAATGCATAATATGTTCAGTTTGATAAAATGTATTAATCAAAACTTCACGCATCATATTTTTATTTATTTTTTAAGTTTTTCCTTATTTTTTTTATGTTTGCCGAGGAGAAGTAACACCATTTCACAATGGACCCACATCCAATTTTTCTGTTCAAAACTATTTCAATGTCTCCTTATGTTCATCCAAAGAAACCAACAGTGACCTCAATATAAAATTTCAGCTCTATCCCTTCACCCAATCTCAAAACCACCACCAGATACCAATAGAGACCCCAATATCAAATTTCGGGACTCCAGCTCTTTAATTTCGCCTATTACCAATTTTAGTACCATTAAGTACAATTATAGTACGCATATCCCAAAACCAGTTCTTTTGTCAACCACAGACACCAACAGTGACATTCATAGTGACATAGTGACATTCAGGATTCCACATCTATCCCTTCACTCAATATCAGATTTAGTACCATTTAGTACTTATCGTGCAATTATAGTACATATTTCCAAAAATCATTTCCATATCTCAACATCAGATACTAACAGAGAACTCAATATCAAGTTTCGGGATTCCAGCTCTATTGCTGTAGCCAATGCCAAATTTAGTACAATTTCGTACAATTAAAGTACACATTTCCTTTATATCTCAATTCCAGATACCAACAGAAACCACAATATTAAATTGGAGGACTCCATTCCTGTGTCTTTACCCAATTCTAAATTGAGTACAATGTAGTACTTTTCGTACAAATATAGTACGATTTTCGAAACCACCTCCCTATGTCCACGCTACACATTAACAGGGACCTCAATACCAAATTTCAGATTTCAATCACTATCTGTTAACCTAATGACTAATTGTACCAAATACAGTACTTCTTAGTACTTTTCGTGCACTTGTAGCACCCATTTTCAAAACCACTGTGACAGGTTTCGAAATATCCAGACAATCCTATGTTGCTGCGATAATTATCCGGACTAGGTACCATAACCCCGAGTAGTGTTCCAGGGACGCAGAAGTGGATACATGTGAGAATCGTACCAGTTCTCCTAGTACAGAGCAGTCCGGAACAAGGATCAGAACGTCTCAGGCGACCCCAGATATGGATGTGCTGCTACTTTTCCTGATTGATTGTTTATCTAGCCCTCCAAGACCATGCTAAAAATGTAGTAGAGTGTTTTTTATATTACCTTTTAATGGTTTATTAGTGTCGTATAGCTCCAATTGTTTGCATGGTTGGAGTGATTACATAAATTTCCATTCTAAATGTAGGGTGTCTTATATTCGGCCCCGTTCGACTTTTGTTTTTATACCCTTCACCATTCTATATACCCTCCATAGAATGGTGGAGGGTATAAAAAAAAACAAAAGTCGAACTTTATCATTCCGTTTGTAACTCCTCGAAATATTCATGATAGACCCTACAAAGTATATATATTCTGGATCAGCGTAAAATTCTAAGACGATCTAACGATGTCCGTCTGTCTGTTGTAATCACGCTATCTTTCGAACGAATTAAGATAGAAGGCTAAAATTTAGCTTACATGCATAGTTTACCAGTAGGAAGATTAAATACGTAAATAGGCCATGTTGGTCCACGTTTTCGTATATCCCTCATGGGTACTACAGCCTATGACAAACATTTTTGTATGCAGCCTATGACAAACATTTTTGTAGCCCCCATATGGCGGTAGCTCCCGATATTCGGTATTTTGATGATTTCAGCAACATTATTTACCGGAATCGTTTCAAATTTCGTATTAGGAGATCTTAATGGTTACTACAACCTATGACAAAAAAATTCGTATGTAGGTTCACGTTTTCGTATAGCTCCGATATAACGGTACCTCCCTATATATGGTATTTTCATGATTTTAGCGACATTATTCACCGGGATTGTTTCAAATTTGGTATTTGAAGTTTGTAATGGGTACTACAGCCTATGACAAAAAAATTCGTAAGCAGGTCCACGTCTTCATATAGTCTCCATTCATTTAAGTAGTAGTTTCTTGTTTGAAAAGTTTTTTTTTTTTTTTGAAAAATTTCAAGTTACTTCCAAATGGTGGAGGGTATTTAAAGTTCGACCTGCCCGAACATAGCTGCTTTTTTACTTGTTTTTTCACATTTGCTTTGTTTAAGATACAAGTGGGTCGCCTGAAACAAGAATTTGACTTGTTAGTAATTGAATAACAAATTTTTGCAAACTTGTTGACGCCTATATCCACACGTTTGCAAGCTATTATCTTTTCTTTCCCTACATCCCCTATTCAGCTATGTCTGCGGTGAGTGCCCAAAGCTCAAAACGATTTGAATGAAAAACTAATTCCAAGGCTAAACTGTTGTTTAAATTGTTCCATTTAAGTGTCATTGTAGGCAAAACCATATAAATAAACACTGAGTACATAATAGCTTTATTTAGAAAAAAGAAATCCAGGACTGATGATGCTGTCGATATTTTGCTCAAGCAACAGTTGTCCTTTGTCATCGTCGACAATTTGAAATTCGAGGGATATTTATTGTCTAGTGATTCATGGTATTCAGGCACACTTTTTCTCTTCGTCTTCGTCTTCTCAATCATCTCCGAGACGAGACAAGTGACAAAAACAACTTGAAGACAGAAAGCCATACTCCCTAAGAAGGATAAATATTCCGTTGCGAAGGATACACGCAGAGATGAAAAACAAATACAAAATAAAACACTCTTCGCTAATGGCATCACTGTCGTCGCGTCAGGGTGAACCGTGTGTGTGTGTGTGGGGGGAGAGTGTGCGTATGTGTGTCGCCAAAAAAATAAAACTCACAAAAATTCCCATGCGACCATAAATGTGTATGGGAGTGAGTGCGTCTGTGTGTGTGTGTGTGACTGTTTGGCTATAATCCTTGGTGTAAAATCTCTAGAAGCCAGTCAGTGTTTATATGACCGTGTTCGGGGTTCCATCATTGTTAAAAACGGAACAAAAAATTGCAGTGAAAATAAGTTATCGTAAATTTAGGAAAAAAAAAAAAACAACGATAATAAAACTCGACAAATGCGTTGCCTTAATCTAAGAACCCTCAGCCTGTTGATCGGATGGTTACATTTGGTGTATGCCACAACGGCTATAGCGGGGGCGATATATTTTGACTATTATGCCAAACAGAAATTGGCTAATACATCGAAATACGGTAGGAGTCGAGAATTTAAATTTCCGGCACTGTCGTAAATGAAACATTTTTGGAACAGAAAGTTTTCAATCTATCATTTGTTTGAACCTTAAGTGCATAACTTTAAAAATGTTTATAGGATTTACCAGTGTGTTAGTGCATATCTTAAAAATACATCTTAATCAATATTTTCTTTGTGTTCTTAGATGAATTTGTCCAGGTCGAAACTATTGTCCTGGTTCTCTATCTCCTGCTCAATGTTTCACGCGTTATTATTTCGGTTTGTTTAATTAAGGGAATCATGCAGGTGAGCTCTAAACAAACGTATTTTTTTTTTCAAAAGAATTTAAAATATTATCATTCGCTTTGTTGTTGCTCACTTTCTTTAGAATAATCGTGAACTAATGGTTCCCTTTGTCTATGGCCAATGTGTGATTTTGGTTATGTTTGTCAGTTTGGTCATCATCGATGCCCTGTATGACCTCAAGAATGGCAAAGATGAACCCTACAGTTTCTTGGATCTGGTATTGGATCTTTCGTATGCATGTAAGTAGTAATCGAAACTAAATAATTGTATAATTATAATGGTGTTAAAAACAATTAAAAAAAAATTAAGTTTGGGCGGGCCGAACTTTAAATACCTTTTTATATAAAAGTATCTAAATTGAAACGTGTTCCGCTTAAAACACCGTTTGGATAATGCTGTTAAATTTTTCAAAAAAACCATAAAGTGGGTGTATGAAGGCCGTACCAAAACGGGAACCTCCATAGACAATTTTATACTTTAAGGGTTGTCATCTACCAAACATTCTTAAATACCAAATTTGAAACAATTTTCTGGATAAATGTGACTAGGATTATCAAAATACCGAGTGTCGGTGGGTATCGTTATATGTGAGCAATAAGAAAAGGTTGAACTAAATACCGTGAAATACAATTATCAATTTTTAGACAAATCCGTGAAAAAATGTGGCAAAAATCAATAAAAAAAAAGAAAATACTGAATATCCGGAGGTATCGTTATATGGGAACTATACAAAAACGTGGACCCATATATACAATGTTTCGGTACCGGAGCTAGGACCCATAATGAGCTACAAATATTGCGATCCGTTAAAAAATGTGGCGAAAATCATCAAAATATCGAATACCATTATAAGGCTATACAAAAACGTGGATCTATATATACAATGTTGTGCCACACGAGCTAGAACCCATTATGACCAACAAATACTAATTTTTTGAAAAATCCGTGGAAAATGTGGCAAAAATCATCAAAATACCGAATATCGGGAGGTACCGTTATATGGGGCTATACAAAAACATGGACCTATACATAAAATGTTTCGGCACCGGAGCTAGAACCCATTATCACCTATCTTTTTGACAAATCTCTGGGAAAATGTAGCATAAAAATACTGAATATCGAGAGGTACGGTTATATGGCGTTGTATGACCATTATGACCTACAATTCCATAAAAAAAGTGGGGCGAAACTCATCAGTGCGCCTTAAGTCGGGAGGTACCGTTATTTGACGGCTATTCCAAAACGTGGACCGATATATCTCATTTTTAATACCCACCATCCTAGCCACAATAGGAATTCTTCTGCTCTACATCAAATAATTTGGACTGTATCATGATTTCAACAAACAGACCGACGCGCAGAATTGTACGCATTGAATTGTATGCTCATTATGAATATATATCTATTTTATGGGGTCTACGATGAATATTTAATGATGTTAGACAAAGTTAATATATCCTGCTTTCAAGGTGGAGGGTATAAAAATCCGATGAGCAACAAGGTCATAGTTTAGACCTGACATAACTTTTTATAACGCCACCACCAACGCACGCACTTTGTCACTTCAAAATATTCACTTTATCCTCCCGTTTTCCCATAGCAATGGCATCTCAAGAAATTTATCTAGGTACCCAGCAAAAACTTGGGTGCTGTATAAACCCTTTAAATGTAATGTAAATAGACTACATACTGCATTCTTAGCATTAATGAGTGGGCCGATATCTACCATCTTCACAATAGACCTTTTGCTAGGAAAAATATTAGAATGTTTGAAGTTAAAAATGAATCAGGAATTAAGTGGGAATTAATTCCCACTTTATGAGTGGTACAATTATTCAAAAAGATGACCCCTTGTGTTGAGGTAAGAGGAGCGTTCCGTTTTATATCATACCCTACACCACAAGGTGGTAAGAGTATTATGTATTTGTGAATTTGTTTGTAACATGCAAAAGGAAACGACATAGGCCCCTAGTTCCTTTTGATGACCTGCATAGAATCACATTCTGAGTCGATTTATGAATATCCGCCCGTCCGTCTGTCCATGTATTTTTGTGAACAAAGTACAGTTCGAATTTATTACCAGATCCAGATTAATTTTTGCACAAATCATTTGTTTGTCGATTTAGCAATGTCCGTCCGTCTGTCCGTCTAAATTAAATTTGGTATTTGAAGTTTGTAACGAATACTACATCCTATGACAGAAAATTGTCTGTGCAGGTCCACGTCTTCGTATAGCCACATATAACGGTGCCCCCCGATTTTCGGTATTTTGATGATTTTAGCGACATTATTTACCGGAATTGTTTCAAAATTCGCATTTGAAGTTCGTAATGGATACTACAGCCTATGCAAGAAAATTGTCTGTGCAGGTCCATGTTTTATAACTCCCATGGTACCACCCAATTTTTATCGGATTTTTTTGAAAATTGCCAAATTTGTACCAAATCGTGGAGGGTATTCAAAATTCGGTCCGGCCAAACTTACAGCTTTTTTACTTGTTTTTTTATTTTTCGTATTTGAGTCTTGTAAGGTCCTAAAGTTACCTATGCCGGTCTACATCTTCGTATAGACCCCAACATAACGGTTAAATTCAGTATTTTTAAGATTTTAACAATGAATTTAATTAATGTTTTATACTAGCCAACTTCTAGTTATATCGACAATAGAATCTGTACACTGGGATCCTTTCATAAAAAAAATAGATAACGAGTTCTCTAAGCACCCACAAACTTCAAGTTGAAACCAAGAGTGGTTAAATTTCGGCTGTTTATTGTATTTACCCTCGGGGTTTAAATTGTATACACTCGATGACAATCATGTTCTAAAAATTATAACAGAGGCCGGCTTAGGATCACTTGAGTGAGTGTAGTAAGGTCGATGGTATTCGAGTAACCGTAATGATTAACATTCGTTGGCTTGTTGACAATTCGTGATTCGCGATTAGATGTATTCGGGCTGATGTTGTCGGCTTGATGCCAACCTGCTTGATGGTTATACAAGGTGGCGCAGAAGTAATCCTCCTTAGGAGCCAATCGTAACATTTATAACATTTTCAGATAGGATAGGCAAGAAGTACAGGCCAAATTTATTGTCCGATCCAGACAATTTAACACATGTCACTTGTTTGACCCGATTTCGTCAGATTGGCCTTTTATTGTGCACCAATCGTGTATTATCGCCCCAAATAGTATATATATGTCTATAGCACCAAATTGATCCTGAAAATTTGTTTGAAATCGGTTCAGATATAGCTATGGCTCCAATATATATTTATTACCCGACTTGTTATGTTTTTCTTCCGCGTAATAGGGTATAGGATATCATATAGTCGGCTCCGCCCGACTTTTGGACCTTCCTTACTGGTTGCTATTTGCTTTTGTTATTACATTATGACAGTTGTTGTTAATATGGGCATCAGAACTCTAGGAGACAATTCCTTCGAATTCGGTCCGAAAACTGTTAGAGTCGGCAAAAAATTAAGAAATGCGCATGATTTTACTTCCTTGTTCGGTCGAAAGTCTGCTAAAACTTCAGACTTTCATCCGACAACACGTTAACCACTCCACGGAAGTCGGACCGAATACGCATTCGACATCGGAAGTTTTATCCTACTTTCGGTTTGAACTCGAACAGTTTGGTTCGCTGGGTAGAAGGTTTGAAGACTATTAGGTCGGATGGTATTTGGGTTGTGGTAGTAAGCTTGCTGTATTCTTGCTTATGTGAGACTAGCCAGAGAAACCACCGAGTCACTGTAGCGAAAGATAAGAGAAAGCGAATAAACCGCTGAAACAAACGAACTTTGAAGCCTATTATTTAAAGAAGTAAACGAATAGCGGGTCCTAGCCATCGACTGTATTCGTCATTAGGTAGTACGAACACGAACACATGTGAACGAATGAACACAACACACATGGGTCAACTTTAGCTCTAGAACTTCTAATTCAGATGACAGAGTGAATGAGAATTATTACCTAAATGCTTAATCAAAATGTTGTTTTAAATAATTACAGTTTAATTTGTTCGTTAATATGAGGAAATATATTGAGAGACTTCTCCAAATATTGTTATTGGGTTGACTAATGAATGAAAGAGCTCACTCATATGAGAGAGAGAATGAGAGAGCTTTAAAGATGGTTTAAATTTTAAAATTTAAAATTAATTTTTTAAACTTTAAAAAACAAAACTTTGGATGGAAAAAGAAGTGAAATTTCTTCCAAAAAGACAAAAGATACTTAAAGAGAGTAGGAAATTTCGTAAAAAACTCCATCCGGGGTTGTATCTCTGAGAGTGCTTAAAAAAATAAGTGTTAGAAAATCCGCAATTAAAGCTCTGAAATAACTTGAAATAAATATTCTTCAAAAATCTGGGATTATGCTTCTGAACTAACTTAAAGAAATTCTTTAAAAAATCCACGATTAAAGCCTTAAGAGCGCATGTGAGGGAATGAAAATTTAATAAGAATTTGTACGGGAACATCGCCTCACCTGTCACAGTAATTTTGAGGAATCTATTCGTTGTTGGTTGACCACATCAGCATGTTATTTCTTTAAAGCTAAAGACATTTCAACTTCAATTAAACAGAGCCAGAGTTTCGATTTCCACATAGTAGGGAGTGTACAAATTTCGTCCCCAAAGTATCGCCCACTCAAAAACGGTTGAATGAATTTAAATTTAATTAAGTTAACAACTAATAAAGCACCAAATACTTGACACATCATCGCATTAAACGCCTTGTTGGGCCGATCCACGGTATTCCTGCCTTTGTTTTTGTGCAGACAATGTCATTATTTTGGCATTAAGAAAACTTGACTGACTGACTGACACATCGTCTCCCCCATAGAAAATTATTGTCTAAATGTAAAACAGCCACATAATTATGTTAGTAGAACTACCCCATATGCAGCAATTTAGAGCTACTGGAGAAGTCTATTGGGAGAACGTGAGTGTAAGTGCTCTTAAACGCATTGCTGACATAGTTCGGGTAGGGATTATGTCGTCATCTGTTGTTATCCGTCCGTCCGTCGTCATATGAACTTTGTACACAGCAAGAAGAATATTGAAGTTATTCGGTCATTTTATATGAAGTGTTCTAAATATGAAAGGGAGTGGGTGGATATGCAGTGCATTTTTTTGTGTGTTCATAAGATGGTATCCATTAACGTACATAAACACATCCATACATTGGAGTGGTATTTTTGCTCATTATTACTTTTTTGCTCTGTTTGCAACACTTTAAGATATTCGTGTAATTTACAACAAGAATGTCCATATGCACGTGATTGGCTTACATTTTAAAGCCAATTAAGTCATGACCGCTAAAATAAGGTAAAATTGACATTATTTACATAAAGATTCGGAATTTATCAAAGATTTGAAAATAATGTGCAGTATCTTTCATATTGTGTATAGTACTGAGTTGTACATTTTAAAAAGAAAAAAATAATCATTAGTTTTTTATGCAGTTCTACAAACGAAGTTAAAAACGTTTGAAGTACCGATTTAAAAATTACTCCTGCAAGATGTATTAAAAAGTAAAAAAAAAAACATTAAGTTCGGCCGGGCCAAACTTTTAATACCCTCCACCTTAGGGTAAAGGAAACATAAGAAGAAATGTGGCAAAAACCATTAAAATGCCGAATATCGGGAGGAACCGTTATATGGGGGCTATACCAAATCATGGACCCATACATGCAATGTTTCGCCACCGGAGCTGGAACCCATTATGACCAAAAAATACCAATTTTAGACAAATCCGTTAAAAAATGTGGCAAAAATAATCAAAATATCGAATATCGGGAGGTACCATTATATGGGGGCTATACCAAAACGTGGACCTATACATGCAATGTTTTGCCACACGTACAGGGACCCGTTATGACCTACAAATACCAATTTTCAGACAAATCCGTGAAAAAATGTGGCATAAATCATCAAAATACCGAATATCGGAAGCTACCGTTATATGGGGACTATACTAGAACGTGGACCGATATATCTCATATCATATCTCATATCAATACCAACCATCGTAGACACATTACCAATTGCTCTGCTAAATTTTGGCGCTCTACGTCAAATAATGTGAACCCTCAACCCTCAACCATTTGGAACGAATTTGGAACTTTCCAAGAATCCATTAGAAATTCTGTTAATATCTAAAAATACCGAATGTAGCCGTTATATTGGGGTCTATACGATGACATGGAGCTGCATAGGCAACTTCTGTCATGGCCCATTACAATATTCAAATACGAAATTTGAAAAAAAAATCCGGTGAATAATGTACCTAAAATCGTCGAAATGCCGAATATAGGGAGGAGCTGATATATGGGGACTATACGAAGACCTGGACCTACATAGATAATTTTCTGTCATAAACTTATGTTCCCATTACGAACTCTAAATACGAAATTTAAAACAACTCCGGTGAATAATGTCATAAGTCATCAAAATACCGAATATGTGGAGGGAGGGGGTACCGTTGTATTAGGACGATATCCTGGACTTATATAGACAATATTCTTTCAGGGGTAAAGTGCTGAGAAGGAACTTCTACTGTGGATTTCCATTAAAAAATGCAGCTAAAATCATCAAAATGCCAAATGTAGGTAGGTACCCTTATATGGGGACATATGTAGGGGGTAAAACATTGAGAAGGAGCTCCTTGTGTGGATTTCAGACAATTCAATTAAAAAATGTAGCTCGAATCAACAAAATACCGAATATCGGGGGGTACCGTTATATGGGGGCTATACGATATTGTGTACCGATATAGCTCATCATCGAACTTGAACTGCCTGCAGACAAAAGACTAATCTGAGCAAAATTTTAGCTTCCTATCTTAATTCGTTCTGACTCTAGCGGACAGGTCTAAATCGTCTTAGAATTTTACGCTGATCAAGAATATATATACTTTGTTGGATCTAAAATTATTATTTCGATGAGTTACAAACGAATTTAACACACCCTCCATAGCTCGGGTTCCAGTCTTAATGCGTTGCAGTGAGAAAACGTATATTTTTATTGAATAAACGGAATGAGCTGGAATTTTCAAATTTGGAAAGAGAGTCACTGATGGAGTGCAGGATAGAAGGGTTTGTGAAAATTCGAATCTTAAGGTTAGGAAAAGCTCTAAAATGGTACCATTGGGATTGGGCTAAAATCTTGATATTGAGTGTGAGAGTCAAAGTTGGATGAAGATGGTTTTTTAAATGTGTAATAAGTGTGTGAATTGTATTAAATTGTACTAAATTTGGAACAGATTGGTTTAAGGTGATCGCATGGAGCTGTAATTTTGAAATTATGTATTGGATTCCGGCTTAGTGTTAGAGTTGTTATTAAGGTTTGGTTTTGGAAATGTGTACTATCAGTACACGAAAAGTACTAAATGGTACTAAATTTGGTCTTGGTTGAAGGTTAGGGTCTTTGTTGGTGCCTAGGATTGGGATATTGAGTTGGTTTTGGAAATCTGTACTATGATTGAACATAAAGTACTAAATAGTACAGAATTTGCTGTTGGGTAAATTAATTTCACATATGGAGGTGGTTTTTAAAATCTGGGCTATAATTGTTCGAAAAGTAATAAATGATTTCGAAAAGTACTAAACGGATTTTAGATCACTCTTGGTGTCTAGGATGCTGAGATGTAGATAGTTTTAGATATGCATAATAAATGTCAGTAAGTTCGTTATTGGGTTTATATATGGAGACGTTGAAATAGTTTGGGACAAAAAAAAAATTAGATGTGGGCGCATTGTGCAATGGTTTTGGTAATATCCTCCTCGGTAAACTTCAAATGAAAGATCATGAAGACCTTTTGCTGTAGAAGGTAAACATTTTCCTATTTGAGTACCTAAAAATATTTCATTTCCGCCATATATATATATATATTGTTACGAATATAACTTTAGATTTAAGTTAATTTAGATGAATTCCGTTAATTTAAGAATTTGAATTGTAACGTAAATTTCTACTACGCAGTTTATTTGAATAACTTCACAACAACAACCACTGTATAGATTTTTCTACATCCTTCCATTTCCTCTTTCATTTTCTATTTTGTTGCTGACGTACAATTCTTGTTAAACGTCATCATTGATGATCGCTTAATTCCTCTTTCTTTGTTACCCCCTCGCCTGTGTATGTGTTGTTGTTATTGTTCACTCAATGTAACTTAATATGTGTTCGTTGCATTGGTAGATTGTTCGTAATCTAGGCGTTACCAGATCGTCTAGAAACTTCTGTAGCGACAGGCGAGGCTCATATAAATAGGGGAAATGGAAAGGCAGTTGTCAGTTGTGAATCAGATCGCGAATTGAAACCGTCGAGTGAAGTAAAGTGCAAAGTAAAGTTGTGTGAATAAAATCATTGTAATAATCGTAATCCGAAAGAACCCGCGTTTTATTTGGTACGAGCTGTAACAACGTCTACACGGGATTAAGTAAAATCCAAGAACGTAACAATATATATATATATATATATATATATATATATATATATATATATATATATATATATATATATATATATATATATATATATATATATATATATATATATATATATATGTATATATATATATATATATATATATATATATATATATATATATATATATATATTTACATAGAATATATATATATATATATATATATATATATATATAATATATTTACATAGAATAGATCACACTTTCAATAATAACAAAATTTAAATATTCTTTTATTTTTCTTTCAGCTCTAACTGCACTATTTCTTTGGCCAGTGTTTAAACTGTTCCGCCAAATGGAATATCCAGAGGAAGGTAATCAAACTGCTTTGGTGGATGATAATAATGGCACAGGGGTTTAAAAAAATCATGAAAGATTATCTCACGTTGTGGACTAGCATGACCTCAAAGCAAAACTTGATTGGTCATCCCCCCAAACAGTGCCGTCCAGTTTTATGCAATAAAATCAGAACCACCGAACAACAAAGAAAACGATCATAAAATGGGTCCAGATGCCTGCAAATAGTTTCTATTTGTAAAAAGAGGACAGTATTAGAAAGAACACAAACCATGAGGCTATTTGGGAGGCAACTAAAAAGAAATATTATCAAAACTAAGAAAATACAGCAAAAAAATACAATTCAAATAGAACAGAATGAAATGAAATTCCCACAAGACCAACAAAATATCTTTTATATTTTACTTTATGATGTAGCATTTACATAATTTATATTCTTATAATAAATATTATTACATTCGTATTGAAACATTAATTTTTTATATCGACTGATCGAAATATTGACCACTTGTAACGACGAATTATGAAAAAATACTATATTATAAAACGAATTTTTGAAATAAAAAAGTAAACACTTGTAGATTTTTGTTCTTTAATTGAATAATTTGGGGGGTAAAAAATGAACCAATTCATCGTCGATGAGAACGTTTCTGATTTTGATGCAATTGGAAGAGTTTAGAGAACAAATATGTTATTTCCGAACGAAGAACAGAGGGCATAGGTTTGATTTGTTTAAAAAGACTTTTATGCAATCGAGAATTACTCTCGATTCAATGGCACTTGAATTAATAGCTTAAACGGCCGTCTGATAATCGAAGCATATATGGTATGCTATTACAAAGTTTTCTTACAGATTTCGGTTGCAAGAATCTTAAACTGAAAAACGCTGCAATTGTCATTGAGTTTATATGATTACCCAATTATTGGATAAGGTCAGAATACGCTAATACCGATGCCTTCATCCCTCTTCTTTATGATCAGACCGTCCAGAGGAGGTTCACCACATAATCGGGGTTCCATCGCCGGTATTGTTACATCAATGAAAATGAAGTCGAAAAAGGTAGACATTTTATCACTATTCTGCCACCTTCACCTGAAATATTCCGACTTGTATGTATATCCAGTATTCGTGCATGATCAAAATGCGAAAAGCGCCATCCTCCTACATGCCGTAGTTTTTATTTGAAACAGAGCCAATAGATCCTATGACTCTATGTTTAACATTACGTTCAAAGCAAATCTGAAAATATGACACCATTTTCGTGCACTCGCTGATGTTCCTGCTCCAGTCAAACGATGTTTTGAGATGTTTGATACTCAAAGAAAGGTTTAATGTCTGGGTTCAGGCAGACAAATCTACTAGTACCACTCATTAGCATCATGAGGGCATCGGCATACACTACTCCCTTAATTGTAAGTTGATCGAAACCCATGTATTGCATTTCACTTATCGCCAGAAGCCAAAGCTTACGTGCGTGTATGGTATCCACAACATCTTTGATACTAGATATCAGGTACAGCTCAGAAATAAGTTCTTAAAATTTTAACAATATCGGTTTAGATTTGGATATAGCTCCCATATGTATCTTTATCCGATTTCAGATTTATTGTACACTATATGGCCAATATCAGCTCAAATGAACTGCATTTTGGCAGTTCCTACAAAACTCAGTCCAGAGGCAAGTTACTCAAATTTTGGTGACAATCCGTTCAGATATAGCTATAACTTCCAATACATATGATTCATCCGATTTGGTGTTAAAGTCCTTCACATGCGTAATATACACTCCACAACAATAATATTTGATATCGGAAATCAAATACAGCTCGAAAATCGGTTCAGTTTTTCAAATACGTTCGATATATTTCTTCATCCAATTTTACGTTTACTGTACTATCACTAAATACGCATAGTGGTGTAAGGTATCATATAGTCGACCCGTCCGACTTTTGACCTTTCCTTAATGGTTTTTAACTATTTTGTCGAATGACGGCATATTTTGGTTTTTGGAGCAAATGTTTTTCTCTCAGTGGCTAGAAAAAACGACATACGTCCAATAAGTAGTGACCTATCGTTTCGAACACAAAATGGCTGTTAGAGAATCACGTCGCAATTGCATGTGTATTATGGAAATGTATATATGAATTTTTTTAAGACATCATCTTTCTGCGAGCGTATCCTACATGGCCATATTCTTTAAAACTCTTCTTGACATTTTTCAATTTTGTTTTACATTTTTTAGATAGATACGGCCAAAATGTGCCTCATCGGGACATTTGAAATCGATCTAGGTGTACCCGTCAGTCTGCCTGATCCAATCTTGGTACATCGTAATATTATTATCAAACTTAGATCGAGTTCGAAGATGGGCAATTTCTGTTCACTCCTTCTGGCATCTCCCCCACAAAAACAAATTTTCACAGAAAATAATTTACCGTTTTAAACAAGAAGCGATCATCCAATTTGGTGCAAACTTGGCAAATCCTAAAATTTGTATCAGTGTGCTAAAATATACCATATCAGCCCACACCATCATTCACCTCCTCCACAAAGGGTCAAAATTTTGAATAATGTTATACCTGAAATAATGCGAAATAAGCATCCCATTCAAATTTCACACACAGCAATTTTTGCAGTAACAGATCTGGTGTAAAAATGCGATAAAACGGACCACTTCTTCTGGTACCACACCTCTTAGGGGTCAAACATTTTCAAAAACCATGAAACTCATAAAGCTCGAAATGAGCATCTGATCAGTTTCAAACTCGGCATATCTCAATATTTCTGCTAACACAAGATTTGGTGTGAATATGGAATATATCCGAACACTTCTTCTGGTACCTCCGTCCACAATGGCTCAAAATAATTTTATAATTATGACACTCATAAAATAAGAAATAAACTTCCGATTCTCGTGAAGATGGTGGATACCAACCTTCCCTTTCTTCAGTATCTTCTCCATAAAGGTCAACATTTTGAATAATCCTAATATAAGTCAAATATATTTTAATAAAATATAATAGGATGAGGATATGCATATGTCGGGAGAACAGACTGATACTTTTTAACTTATTTTAATTAGTTCCGGTAGAAAAGGTATCTGAATTCATCGAAATAGCGAAGGTACCGTTCTACCCGAACTTAATTTGCTGCAGACAAAAATCACCTTTGTACAAAATTTAAGCTTCCTATCGCAAATCGTTTGGACTCTAACGTGATTTCAATTGATGGGCAGTCGGACGGTCATGGTTAAGTCAACTTAGAATTTTAAGCTGATCAAGAATAGAACTACGAATACTTATTTTTAGACAAATCCGTGAAAATTTGTTGCGAGCTACAAAAACCAATTTTTTAGATAAATCCGTGAAAAAATGAGGCAAAAATAATCAAAATGCCGATTATTGGGAGGTACCGTTATATAGGGGCTATATAAAAGGTGAACCTATGCATACAATGTTTCGCCACAGAAGCCGGAATCCATTACGAACTACAAATAAAAATTTTTAGGCGAATCCGTAGAAAAATGTGGCAAAAATCAAATCATCAAAATACCAAATATGTTACAAACGGAATGACAAAGTAAATATACCCTCCTTCTTAAGGTGGAGGGTATAAAAAACTCCTACAAAGCATTATTTTAGAAATATATGTTAAAGACAAAATTATTCTTCACCAAATTTCACTATAGGTCACCAAAGAAAAGAAATCCCTATTTCAATTAAATATTAAGAAACTATTCTTAATATTCTGACAATTTTTTCTGACCTTATATAGGGTGTTGGATTACATAAAGAGTTATTGTATTACAAAATAGGTCACTTCGGTCCAGTGTAAATTCAGATTTCAAGTAGTATTTTGCCACTGCATAAATTACGTTTTGTACGCAGAATGCAGACTTATCTCGTTCTTATACATCGGTTACTTATGTGGAGCTCGTCATTTTTTAGGTAGTTCTAAACTTCATTTATTTACCGCTGTGACATTTTTATACCCTCCACCAAAAAAAGTATGGAGGGTATATTAAGTTTGTCATTCCATTTGTAACTCATCGAAATAATCATTTTAGACCCAACAAAGTATATATATTCTTGATCAGCGTAAAATTCTAAGACGATTTACCCCTGTCCGTCCGTCTGTTGTAATCACGCTACAGTCTAAACGAATTAAGATAGGAAGCTAAAATTTTGCACAGATCTCTCTTTTGTCTGCAGGCAGGTCAAGTTCGAAGATGGGTTATATCGGTCCACGATATCGTATAGCCCCCATATAACGGTACCCCCGATATTCGGTATTTTGATGATTTTAGCCACATTTTTCAATGGAATTGTCTGAAAATCCACACAAGTAGGTACTTTATACCTCGGCAGAGAGTTATCTATATAGGTCCACCATATCGTATAGCGCCCATATAACGGTACCCCCGATATTTGGTATTTTGATGATTTGATCCACATTTTCAATAGAATTGTCTGAAATTCCACAAAAGGTGTACCTTGTGGGCATTTTACCCCCTCAAAAATAATTGTCTATATATGTCCACGATATCGTATATCCTCCATATAACTGTACCCCCCGATATTCGGTATTTTGATGATGTTAGCCACACTTTTCAATGGAATTGTCTTAAAATCCCCACATGTAGTTCCTTGTGAGTACTTCACCCTCTGAGAGAGAATTGTCTATATAGGTCCACGATATCGTATATCCCCCATATTCGGTATTTTTATGATTTTACCCACATTTTTCATCGGAATTATCTGAAAATCCACACAAGGAGTTCCTTGTGGGTACTTTATACCTCGGCAGAGAATTATCTATATAGGTCCACGATATCGTATAGCCCTCATATAACGGTACCCCCGATATTCGGTATTTTGATGTTTTTAGCCATATTTTTCAACGGAATGGTCACAAGGGGTTCTCCGCGACAGAGAATTATCTATATACGTTAACGATAACGTATAGCTCCCATAAAACGATACCCCGCGATATTCGGTACTTTGAAAATCCACACAAGGAGTTTCTTGTGAGTACTTTACACACAGACATAGATTTGTTTTAATAGGTCCACAATATTGTATATCCCCCATATCGGCACCTTCCTATATTAGATATTTTAAAGATTTTAAAAGAATTTTTTATGGATTTTATTTTTTTGAAAATTTTCTAATTCGTTCCAAATGGTGGAGGGTATTCAAAGTTCGGCCCGGCCTTACTGCTTTATTACTTGTTTGAATATCCATTGAGTACATATATTCTGAAAATACTGCTATTACAGTGGACGCTTAACTTATGACACTGATATTCTTAAAAAAATACGAAAATAAAACATTTACAAGCTGCTTGTTTTTTCCCATCAACAGTTACGTTCTATTCGTCCGATACATTCCAAAGTCACCCAATCTCCCAAAGTTACTGTCCTCTGTCTCTTATCATTTAAATTCTTACGCATCCGAGATGATTTCATTAATGATCCCACACTCGAATGCAGATATTTGGAAATAAAGCAACAAAAA